TCCTTTTTTTTCCCTTTTTTCTTTCAAAAGTCTGTGTCTCTGCAGAAAACTGTTTAATGTACTTTTAAAGGAAAATGTGTTTATCTTGTTCTATGCAAGGTATATCAAATGCAAAAACTCCGTTCTTAGTCACCTGTCATGATTCCCAGGCTCTGATAAAATGTTCTTTCTCTTCCCAGATTCGAGTGCCTGCATTTCTGGACCTCTTCATGCAGTCCTTGTTTAAACCAGGTGCTAAGATCAACCAGGACCACAAACATAAATATATCCACATACTGGCATATGCAGCTAGTGTTGTAGAGATGTGGAAAAAGGTAATGTTCACTTCTGTGAATAATATTATTTTTTACCTGCAGCAGCCTGTCTCTGCTGAAGAATATGTATGGTTGTGAAGTCGCTTAGTTTAAAATAATGCATTCAGCTTAGTTTAATTATTTTAATATGAAATGCTTCTGCCTTCAGCTGAGGTGATTAAAAAGTGTAGATCCTGATGATCAAATAGAAGTCTGAGTACACTGAGAATTAAATAAAGCAAACATCCCTGTACTTCAGCTCACTCATAATTAATTCTTCTGAAACTTGCATGTGAGTCTGAATTTTGAGACACAGGTGCAATCCCAGGCTTATTGCAGGTCAAGTTCCTTTCCTTAAATAACCAAAGACATCTGCAACTTTTGCATTCCAATTTTGCAATAATTTTACAGAACAAGAGAGTCAGCATCAACAAGGATGAACTCAAGTCGACCTCAAAAGCCATTGAGACTGTTCACAATCTGTGTTGCAATGAGAACAAAGGGGCATCAGAGCTGGTTGCAGAACTGAGCACTCTCTATCAGTGCATCAGGTGAGCAGGGAGGCTGGGAATCTCTCATGACTCATAAATCCTGTCTTTCACACACAGCTTGTCCTCCTTGGGTGGCAGAAATGATTTTCTGTGCCTCTGGAGAGTGATGGCAGATTACTTTGGGTTCCTAATAAAACTTCCATGTATTTTCCATGCTGCTGTGCTAAGGTGATGTCTCTCTGTAGGTTCCCAGTGGTGGCCATGGGGGTGTTGAAGTGGGTGGACTGGACAGTGTCAGAGCCACGGTACTTCCAGCTGCAGACTGATCACACCCCAGTTCACCTGGCCCTGCTGGATGAGGTAAGAGTGTCTGGAACCTGTGCTGAGAGCAGGAACAGCTCTGCTTCTTGTGTAACACTGAGTGCCTGTCATTTGCAGGAAGGCAGTAAATATGCAGAGATGAATCTATTCAGAGTAAATTGTCTGGTTTTGTCAGCTCAGCATTATTTATGCCAGGAAAACTTGGGCATTATAGAAAGAAATGATGGAATGCTTTTCTAAATGAATTTCTGTCTGGCACAGAACATCAGTGTAAACTTGTCTGGTGCATTGTGTTTTAAATTGCAGTTCTGAGGATCTCACTTTGCTGTGTTGTTTGCAGATCAGTACATGCCATCAGCTGCTTCATCCCCAAGTTCTGCAACTTCTTGTCAAGCTCTTTGAAACAGAACATTCTCAGCTGGATGTGATGGAGCAGGTGATACTCAGAGGATTCAGGTTTTTGTTACTTCACATCTGTCACTCCTTTTGCTCTCACAGCAGGGTTAATGTAGAAGTGGTTAAAATGTAGCACAGCGGGTATTGAATGAATAAAAATAGCACACTCTGAGGGCGAGTTCTGAAGTGTTGGCTCTCCCCTCCCTTCCCCTCAGCTGGAGCTGAAGAAGACTCTCCTGGACAGGATGGTTCACTCGCTGAGCCGGGGCTACGTCCTGCCCGTCGTCAGCTACATCCGCAAATGCCTGGAGAAGCTGGACACAGACATCTCCCTCATCAGATACTTTGTGACAGAGGTCAGCAGCAAAAACTGTTTACTGAAGGCTAGAGATCAAGTTTAAATCAGATCCATGTGTTTTGGATATTGAGAAATACTTCAGGTTCAGGTCAGAGTCTGAGCAATGTCTCAGTGTTCACCAGGATGGGATTTGGTCCTGCTGCTCCTGACTTCTGGAAGTAACAAGGTACTCACAGAGCACCTGAGAGTTCATACCTAATTAGTTAATTAGTTGCACTTGAGACCTCTTGTTCTCCATCCAACTACTTGTATGCTCCCAAGATTGGTATATGAATTAAATGTTGTCCCTCCTCCCCCTGTAAGTGCAAGAATCATCAGTTTTTGTCTGTTCTTTCAGGTGCTCGATGTGATTGCTCCTCCATATACCTCAGACTTTGTACAGCTTTTTCTTCCAATCTTGGAGAATGAAAGCATTGCAGGCACTATAAAAACAGAAGGTGAACATGATCCTGTCACAGAGTTCATAGGTAAGTCATGTTTATTCCTTGCATCCCTGCTTCCATTTGTGTCTTACAACTTGCAAATAATGTTTAGGAGGAAGATTGCTAAGTATAGGAATGCCTGCCAGCTGTTTTCACAGACAACTTCCCTTTTAGGGGCCTGTGTTTAGCAATTTCCCTGTGATCAAGAATCTGTGGGTAGTAGTGGGGAAAGTGAAGATAAATACTGCTTTTTGGGAACTATCACTGCAGCAAGGAAAGGAAGGAAGGAGAGTTGTCTGTCATAGTATGATACTCCACCCTAAACCAGAAACATCTGTCCAGACTCTAAAAGCCTAATTATTTACATAATCCATATGCAGAAATCCATATGCAAATACATAAATCAGAATCATTGTAATGTACTGAACAGTGTCTTCTTTTTCTCTCCTTTTAAGCTCATTGCAAATCTAACTTTATTATGATGAACTAAGCAGTGGAAAACATCAAGAATGCAGCCAGAGCTTATGATCACTGCTTTGCCATGCTCTCCACCTGTGAGGTTCTAAAACTGGGGAGAAAAACCCCAACAAAACCAACAAACCTAAAACAAGGAGGAAAAGGCTGAAGGACATTTGCTTGACTTGCATGGTGACCCTGAAATTCTTAACCAGAGGAGTGTTTGTGTTTCATATCAGAGAATTGTCAATGTCATCTGGGAAATGGAATGATACCAAAGGTCTTTCTGTTGTTACACAAATCAGTATAAATCTGTGTTCTGAAGAGGATAGATAGAAAGAACAGATTTATTTGAAAGAACTTGCAGAATTTGTCACTGATTCTTTGTGTAATAAACAAAATATGAAGAAAGGGTAAGGTAATTCCTACTAAAAACACTTTACAGATAGTTCTCTGAATAGGTCCTGAATGCTCTAGGCTTTGATATTGCAAGTTGTAAAAAACAGGAATTTGTGGATTTGCTCTGTGCCTGCAGCACAGAAGCCCTAATGTCTGTCCCTCCCTTTTGCATTAGATTAGAATTTTAAATGTCCTACATGAAAACAAAAATGTGTTTTGTGTAACACAAGAGGAGTTGCAACAGGCAAGGTTATTTTGTATTAAGAGAGGAATTCTGTGTGAGTGTGTTACCTTTCAGAATCTATTTCTTGCTAAATAGATGCAGCAGATGTTACTGGTAAGTTTCATTACCGTGTCATTACTGTCCCAAACTATGAAACGTGTGCCCAAATTTCATTACTGCTTGTTGTGGCTTTGTTTTTATACTGATCTCTACTCTGTCCTGGCTGATGCCAAACTGTGGGAGAACACCCAACAATATAATTTACCTTTAAATAAAGGTGTTTGTTCTTTTGCAGAGATGTCTTTCAGTTTCATTATGACTCGTTCTCTCTGCTCATTGGGCTGGATTCCTCTTTACACCCCTCACTTTTAAACCAACAGTAATTTTCTTGAACAAACAAGCACATTTTGCTCCTCCAAGTACATCTGTTTTCTGAAGAATCTGCTTTCTAAAAGACACTGAAACTCTTAAGTCCAGATGAATGCAAATTTAAAAAGGAAATCACCTGAAAAGGGCAAAAGTTGCTTCTCTAGAGGCTGTTGGGAACTTCCTTGCTTATCTTTGAATAAAAGATTTACTGTTATTCTAGCTAACTCTCACCATTTAAAATTTGCATGTGACCTAGTTTTTGTAATTTAAGTAAACTGTTGAATTAACAGCAGAAATTATTCACCTTATAGAGAACAAATTTAGGATCCAGCCCTATACAAGCTCTTGGTGATAATCAAGAGCAGTTGCTCTGTGTCCATGCAGCTTTACCAGCAGTTTCAACAAGGTTTATCTTTACTTTCCTGTATTCAGCTTGCTATCACTTCCTCTAAACAGTTCCTCTGTAGGTGATTTTTAACTTAAACCCTTTGTGATGCTGTGATCAGGGATGTCACACAATCCTGTTCACACTCAGTTGCTGTTTGAACCAGCAGCATTGCTGTATAAAACTGTTCATCAGGCCAGATAGAGACAACCACACACCTGCATTAACAAGCTCTTACAATAAATCCCCAGTCATGTAAGAGAAAAAGTTTGTTTATTAAATCAGTTAGCAATGTCAGGCAGTAACATCTGATATGGCACTGATTTGTAATATTAGTGAGGAGTTCTGGGTTATGGTAATTTACATTTTGCCTCTTTAGGAGAAAAAAAGGCATAATCACGTATTAAAACAAGGCTAATCAAGTAAGAAGTGTTTAGACTGTCTTTTGCTTAAAGTAATTCCCATTATATAATTTTGGTGGATAAAAGCAACTTCATCATTTAACAATTCCAACACCACTGTTTCACCAGGAGGTCAAGCAAACAAGGTTTAATATTTTTGATTTATCATGTCCAGACTTATCATGGCTTTTGCATCATTGCAACATATTTGGTCAGTACTGTCACAGAATTTAAAAGAAGCTCTAGACCCAAATATTGAGTACACTTTCCCAGTACATCTACATGATTTGTATTTAAAAAAATAGATATTTACATGTACAGGTTCTGTGATTCAGTCAGTGTGATTTTAATACTGTGCATCAAGGTAGACAACTCCTTCATGGGTGAATTACTTCAAGGTGTAAATAAAATTAGGGCAGTTCTGTATTTTTTGAAGGCATTGTGTGTTGCATCTGGTCTAATTGTTCAGAACTGTGAAGGAGTCTTGGGCTATTATTCTTTAAACAAGAGGAGGTTGTGCTGGGAAGCTTCCAAAGTACCCAAACACAAAGCTGTACCATGTAGCATCAAGGCAGTATGGGATCCCCATATGCACAGTCCTCTTCAATAGCCAGATTGTAGTCTGCTCCTCTTCCACCCTTGTAGGCACTGGTCACAATCCTCAGCCAGCCTCTTTCACCCTGTAAAGGATTTAATTTGCATTGTAAATTAGGAAACAGCTGTAAAAATTGTGTGTTGGTGAGTCTGTTCTGTCTGCCAAATATGAGTGATGAGGTGAATGGAGAATTCACTCAAGCTGTGGTGCAGCCCTGGAGTCATGGGGCAGCCTGCCTGGGTGAACTCACATCCCACTCACCCAGTCCTGGATTTTTGCCTACAACTCACAGCAATTTCCAGTTGCCCATAACAGGAGCTGCACGTCCTTGAAAGGTAGAATTTGGGATAGAGCTGAAAGTTATTACTCAAATAACTTCCAAATATCCTTGCCTTCAGATTGGCTGGGTGTCATTTTTAAACGGGCAGTCTAGTTCAAAGCAAGTTTCAGTTTTATATCCACAGGCTGCAGCTTTGCAAGTGACAAACCCCTCCCTCCCAAGCCCAAAGTGTGTTGCTGTGTCTCCTTACCCAGGGCTCACCCCAGGAGTTCCGAACTATCCAATATTCTGTCCCGTTCTCCACGCCCCAGCCAGCCACAGACACGATGTGATTCACTGTGGGTGAGGGGTTGTACTCTGTGTACAGCCCCCCTGTGTAGGCATCCAGCTTTTCTGTAGCCATGATGCCACAGCTGCAAGAAAACAGAGAGGAGGTTTCATACAAGGGGATCAGGGCAGGGGCCTGGCTAAAAACCAACTGGGTTTCTTGTATTTTGTATTCTGATCTCAGTTTACATACAAACTAGAGTCTGCATGCTAGAGCAGAGCAGCTGACACATGCTAGAATGAAAATGTACACAGAGTTTCGTGTATCTTTTTTTTTTTTTACCTAATTGGTCCATTAGTGTAGATTTCTGCCATCATTTTTTCTCTTCCACTGACAGACCCATAGTCAGCAACTTTCCAGAGAGTGTAGTTCTTGATCACATGGCATTCTCCAAAAGTGACACAAGTTCCACACTGGTTGAACTTCTTACATTCTGCAAAACAGAGGTGAGATTACAACTGTAGGTAATCTGCAGGAAGGTGCTTTTCTTTAAGTGAAGGGATTGTAGGACACTGAGCTTTTAGAACATAATTGAGGCAGATATTAGTAACTTCAGAGTAATTATTAATACATATTTTCTCTGGTGAACTCAGTTATTTTCTGGAAACCACATTTAAAGTCCCTTTTATCACCACTTACTGCTTTTTACTTCACAGATATAAATACTTTGTTGAGGACATAGAGAAACCATTCCAGTCATACATGACCAAAGGTTAAATTTCTCCTTTGTTCAGCTTGAGGTGACACTTGTAAATATTTCAGTACATTAGAGATTGTGTGTCACAGATTTAAGAGATTAAGTTAAAACAATTCAGCTGTGCAAACTTGCCTGAGCACGATTTAGTGCTACCCTGTCTGTCTGGAGCAGGAGACACACACAGGCCCGTAAAGAAAACCTGCTCTGTCAGTCAAACAGCAGGAACCAGTACTCTGAAAACCCAAAACATTTTTTTTAAATACACTGCTAAAGCTGGGAAGAAACCCTAGAGCAAAGCAGAGGCACCCTACTTTGGTCCTTGGCCTGGTAGTTGTTGCAGGTCTCGTCGGGGATGCCGTGGTCGTGCGCGTACCTCCAGACCCCCGAGTGGTCCCCGCCCTCGCAGGAGCCAGCATCAGCACAGTCGATGACATTCTGCACAGACAGGTAGGCAGACGGCCAGGCCCCTTTCCTCTTGATGTTGATTCGGTCTGGAAGGACAAGAAACTGGGGTTTGCTGTGGAATTCGTGGGTGGCTGCACATTGCAGCTGCTTTTGAAACTGTCTCCTCTCCATTGAGCCTGCACTGGTGGCAGACTGCAGCACTCGTGGTTGGAAAGGCTCTGCTGTCTGCAGAGAGGAACACAGCCTGACCTGATTCAAACCAGAGGCTGAGCTATTGTTGTGGGTTTCCATTAGGAGGGGTTTTTCCATTAAAAACTCAGCAAAAACATGGAGATGAGTAAGATCTGTCTAAGGCCTTGAAGAGCCCTAAACCTCTTTTAATTCAAGACACAGTTTCTGAAAACTTCCAGATCTGTTTCCTGACTTTGACAGCAAAGAGTTTTCAAATACACATCTAAAAACAGCTCTGAGCATCATATCTTACAGGAGTAGAGATTTATGTATAAGTCCATGCATAAACATAAGCCCATGGAGCCCAGGCTGCTGGCTCTGTGAGACAGTCTAAATGCAGGAGAAAGCTTTCAGACTTATCTCCTTGCTGTTACACCAGCATCTCACTGTTATCCTGCCATCTCAGACAGGCACCACCACCCTGCTGCCTTCTTTTGTCAGAAACAAGAAGCTTACTTGGCAGAAAAGCTTCCTGATGAGTATTTATAAACTGCTTTTGTGCATTAACAGTCTTAACTGATGCCACTGTAGTTACTTTAAATCCTATTAGTACCAACAACATTCAAATAAACTTGACAGAACAGGGAGCTATCATCCCAGCCTAATCTTCCTGCAAGCTGCTGTATTTTACTGGCAGGTGTCACACCTGCCCACATCCTTGTGTACTGCATGATTCCTGCTGTCTGCTCACACCTGCATTATCTGCCCCCTTCTCCCCAGTTTCCTTGGTTTCTCCTTCACAGGTAAATTTTCCTACAGCCTCCCTGTGCAAATGGCGCTTCTCCAGCACGAAGCTGTTGCATGCAAATCATGCATTCTCTCTAGAGCCACTACTTCTCCATCTGTAGCAAACCACTACTTCCCCTTGACTTAGAAAAAGGCTGAAATCAGATTTAGTGTCTGCTGTGGGGGTCAGTTCATGCAATGACAGGGCTCCTGCAGCAAATATCCCACAAGAGGCACCTTGTTTCATTTCCTCATTGCCAGCATGGCTGGAGAGCCCCTGCTCTAGTGAGGGACCAGAAGGAGACCTGACAACTCTTTTGCATCTCACCACACCTCTGAGGGGAGGGCAGAAACTCCAGCTCTTACCCCAGGACCTAAAGAGCAGTTTGGGAGGAGCTACGGCCACATTTCTTCTGCAAACAGGTTTTTAACCACACACCAGCGTTCCCCCCTTGCTGCCTTTGGATAAGGTGGACACAGCCTCACTCTGGTTGCTTTTTCTACTGAAACCAACCCTCCTTGCCTTCAGCTTGGGCATTCCCACTGTTCTGGTGTATTCACAGACACCTCAGCCTCGGTTTTGCTGCGTTAGTCCCTGCAGTGATTTAGCACCTTACACCAGCTGTCAGTAACCGGAATCTAAACTCCCTTTGCTTCCAAACACTCCCGATTGCAGCGGGGAGCCCGGGGGTACCTGCCAAGGCGCTGGTGCTGCCGTGGGCCCAGCAGGAGCCGCAGTACTGGGGGATGTGCTGGTTCCGAGTGGTGCTGGCGTAGTTCACCCCGTTCACGTTCCGCCAGTCCCAGCTCCGCGGCAGCGCCGACACGTCCAGGTACTCGTGCGGGCGGGGGTAGGTCCTGGGGAGGGGGGAACGGGACGGGGAGGGAGCGCCGGCATCCCCCGGAGCAGGACGGCCGGGTGTTATTTAAAACAAAACAAAACAAAACAAAACAAAACAAAAAAAAAAACCAAAAAACCAAAACCATAAAATCAAACCCCACGGATTTCACCGAGTTCCATAACGAGCCCGCGAGTGTCCGCCGGGGTCACGTGACCGATCCGGCCCCGCGGTCTCGTGACCGCCCCCCCCCCACCCCCCCCACCCACCCCGGCCCATCCCGGACCCCAGAGCGGCCCCGGGAACCCCCGAACGCCCCCGGGCACCCCTGAAATCCTCAGGGAACGCCTGAAATCCCCGAACCCCTCGGGCTCCCCCAGACCCCCCCGGACACCCTCGAAACCTCCCGGGAACCCCTGAAATCCCCCGGACCTCTCCGGGCACCCCCGAAATCCCCGAAGCCTCCCGAGCCCCGGCTGTGCCCGCCCAGCCCTCCCCAGCGCTCCCCTCGGCCGTGCCACCCGTGAGGGGCCGGGAGCGAAGCGCACCTGAGGCCGGGCGCCCTGCGCGGGGCCGGGCGGTAGCAGTGCTGCCCCTCCCTGAAGTGGAGCCCGGCGCGGGCGGGCGGGCAGAGGCAGCCGCAGAGCAGCAGGAGCGCGATGAGAGGCTGGAGCGGCGGGGCCATGCTGGGACAGCGGCGGCTGCCGGGCTGCGGCCGCGCCGGGGTTTGAGGGCGGAGGGGAGGAGCGGAGGCACGGGCGGGGCCGGGCCGGGCTCACCTGCGGCGGGCGTGGACAGCGGGCGGGGACAACGGTCCGGCCCCGCGCCCTCCTCGGCGCCGCCTCAGCGTGTCCGAGGGAGCTCTTGGGGACGAGGAACAAACTCCGATCCCGCCCTCCCAGCCCCCAGTGGCGCTTCCAGCTCAACAATTCGGTCACATGAGTTGTGATTGTATCTGGGACAGGCCCTGTCACAGGTTCCTTCACCTTTGGCCTAACACCTCAGCATTGTGCCAGACTGTGGCCAGAGACTGTGACTGGATTTTTGTTTGTTGTTTTTTTTCCTAGTCCCAAGTTCTGGATTTCTCAAGCCCTTTAATGCTACAATTAGCGAAGGAACACAGGCCTGTGTCCATTTTCTAGGCTACTCCTTAGGGCTTGAATATCTGAAGGTTCTTCATTATTTGCTAGAAGATTTAGTCAATAGTAAAAACAGTTTTCTAATTTTCCTGCAGAAGCTTCTAGTGACTGTGTGAATGGATTATCAGTTTCTTTTGCATACATTAGCTAGAAGTTTTCATGTTTGATAAACAGGTTTAGTAAACCACAGACAATTCTCCCCTCCTAGCTTCTCTTCCTTGGCTTTCAGCACTTCTTGTGGAGGGCCGGAGGTTTATTAGCTCCACACGATGAGCAGAGAAACTGAGGCACAGAGAACAAACACACCAAAATGATCAGCAGAGCACGAATGGAGCCTGTGAGTTGAATGCATTGGTTTTGGTATCATTATTAGGGGTGATTCAGCTAGCCCAGGGTAGTTAAGACTTGCATCAGCTTGTCTGGCAGCCATTCACAGATCTCTGTAAAATTATCTGATGCCCTGTAGCCAGGCTTATCTCAAACTGAATAGGCTTTCCTCTCAACAATCTTCTCTGCTACTCTAAAAAGCCAGCTCCTCCCAAGCAAACCATTAAAAAAGAGTATCCCAGAATCCCTCCTTGCACATGCATGTTTATTGGGGGTAGTGTTTAAAAAAACCCAAAAACCAACCAAGGAAACAAAAACAACAACAAATAGCCCAGCAACCACAAAAGCCTGGTGTCTCTGTGGTCTCAGCTCAAGCCCATCAGCAGGGCTGTGGCATCTGGGAGCAGTGGCAGCCTGATAATGTGCTCTGTGCCCCAGCTGTGCCCAGTGCCAGGCTGCTCCTAATCTCCCCCTTGCCAAAGTGCCTGAGAGCTGCTCCATCCAGCTCAGCCCCTCTCCCCGGTGCCTCTCTCTGCTAATCTGCAGCTGCACATGGGCCGTGGCACTGCTGGGAGTCCCGGGGTGTTAACAGGCCCGGGGCTCGCTGGGCTGAGCAGGGACTGCAGCTAAACCTCCACAGAAACAGCCCCTCCTAGGCCGGGCCTGGATAGAGTCAGACAGAAATGCAGATGGGGAGGAGGGAAAAGAGGCCCAAGCCCACAAACATCTCAGCTGCCTGGTGTCATGTGCCAGAATTTTTAAGGCTCTATAAGGAAGCACTTCAGAGGAGGCACATGATTCTGGGGAGCTATTTTCAGCAAGAGGAAAAGCCCCTATTAAGTGATTGCTTATTTCTTTTGCTTCCCTTTTCCCCCTTTCCTTGTGAGATGTGCTCAGTGAATTTATTTATTGCTGAAATTATTTTGTCAAATTTTTTGGACAGTGAATTAGCACCTTCAGCCTCCTCCTAAGCTGTGTCTATTGTGAATACATTGCATATTTTTAATTTATATTAATTTATATTTTTTATCAATTAATATAAATTATTTTTATATTGTATTTATTTAGTATTTGTTATTAACATTGTATCAATGTCTATTCAGAATGCAGCAGTTGAATATACAACTTAGATGTGCATTACTGCTCTTAGCTAAGGATGGTTGGAGAAAACAAGTATGAAATGTGCATAAATAAATGAGATATGCTTTTTAAGTAAATGGCCAAATAACCTTTACAGAATTTTCTTCGGGAACTGTCGAAGATATCCAAAGCTATTGTGGAAAATATTGTCAATGTGGCAGTGGAACAGAACATTGTGTGTGTCTTGCTGGGTAAACTGAATGGCTTAGAGATTTTATCTTTTGAAAATTATAAAATGATTGTGTTTTAAGGAAACAAAATTAATCTACCTGCATTTGACATCTTCCTTTTATTGCTCCCTAAGCAGTGTGCTCACAGCATGACAGAGGATGACAGATGTTTGCTCTCTATTTTTTTAAAATGCACTCCTGGTGCTGAGCTCTGTGTCAGGAGCAGTTGTCTGTTCTTCATTGGCTGGTGGGGGAAGTGGAAGTCATCAAGTGGAGGGGAAGCCTGGCATAAGCTGATTTTTCTCCTGGAACCATATGGAAGCTCAGAAATCCCTTATCTCCAGCAACCCATAAAGCGGTCAAGCAGTGACATTCAGGGAGTCAAGGCTTCCACTGTCACCATTTCATGCTGAATAGTTTTAAGGTGCTTTCCAAATTATAGTTCCTTTCCCCATCCTTAAAAGGAACACTTGCAAGGCAGTGGCAGTCACTTGACATGTCATGAAACTGCTCTAGGCTTCCACAAGTCATTTTAGTCTGGGTTTCTGCTGCTCAGTGATACTGGTGCTGGTTATCAGCAGCCAAACACGACTGTGCTGTGTTTTGTTCTGTCTCACAGCGTTTCCTTTAGCAAGGGAAATGTTTCACTCAGTGAATGTTACAGTTCACTTCAGAGAGCTTCAGTGAAATGGGGTTTTCACCTCTAGCATGTTCCTGGCAAGTTCTGAAGCACACCTGAGACATAAGAAATTAAGAAATATTAGAAATGCTGTATTTCTTAATGGGAGAGAGGGAGAGTTAACTGTGCAAGTTAGTCACAAGTTAATTCAAGTTTTGGCTAAATATGATGGACTCTTTTAAGTATTTAAGGACCAAGCATCACTGAGGGTACAGTGTTATTTTTATGCGTTACAAACTATTTTTTGTTCCTGCTCCTGTTCCCCTCCTCCATGCAGTCAAACATCAGGAATGAGGCTTGTTAGTGAACTGGAGTTTGCCTTGCAATCCTGCTCTCAAGTTGTTACCATTTTTATTATGGGTGTTGTCCTCTATGACTCATATGATGCTAAAATTTAAATGATGTGGCAGAAGCACATGTGCTTAATAAATTAAGATCACTCACTTTGGGCTATAATCTCTACATATGCACATATATTTGTATATATATTATGTTTAATATAGAATAATGCACCACAAAGAGAATATGCACATCCACAAACAGAATATGCACATCCACAAACAGAATATGCACATATATGCTGCACAGAGAGGGGAAGGGGTGCAGGTGACAGTGCTGCTCTCCAAGGCACAGGTGCTGCCCTTGTGCTGCTGTACCTGCACCCAGGCAGGGCAGGGGCCCCGGGCTCCTGGTGCAGAGCCTGGGGCTGGCTACTCCCCTGGCTGGCTGAGTGACACTCCCTGGGGTATAAAAGGGCCCCTGGGCCGGGCTGTGCTGGGTGTAGCTGATAGAGCAGCAGGCACAGGGCTCGTTCTGGGGAGCTGCAGAGCCTGGGTGAGGTTGTAGCCACCGGCAGGTCTGAGCCACACAAAATGCGTGAAATCGTGCACCTGCAGATTGGCCAGTGTGGGAACCAAATTGGATCCAAGGTAAGGTCTCTTTTCAACACTGATTACTGGCAGGGATCAGAGGTAGCAGGTCACACATCATCAGTGGATGGGCACTTCTGGGGGGACAATTACCTTGTAACTCAGTGGGGGGAAGCATGGCAGGTTAGCAGGGAACCATGTGTATTTTGGTATGAAACCAAAAGCTGGATTTGTTCCTTTAAGGTTAATGTTCATTTGCAATAACCATGGCCCAGGGAATACAGGTGCACCAGAGCATTCCTGCTGGGACTCCTGCTCCCAGGGGAACTCACATCCTCTGCAAGATACAAGTGACAGAGCCAGTAATTCCAGGGCTGTGAAGTTGTGTTGCTGGTACTTTAGCTCAGCCATGCAGCAGCTCTGCCACATTTTATTCTTCAATATCAAAGAATCATACAATGGCTTGTGTTGGAAGGGGTCTTAGAGATCATATGGGATCATATTAACCAACAGCATAACCTGTGTTAGAGTGTAGAATGACACAAAGTGTCACTGGCCTCCTGTGAGAGACAAGGTGTCATTTGGAGTATTTTTGTGTAGCTCAAACACTGGATGCTGTGACATAAGGAGTAGTCACTATTGCTGACTTTCTGGGCTAGGAGTAAAATTACCCCTCAATTACTATGCTGTGTGATGTCCATACTTTCTTTTTTTTCTTTAATTGATAAGTAGGAAGTTGTCCAAAATTATCTACTTTGGGCTGGGAGGTCTTTTAAGACATGGGATAGTTGAGGGATTGTTTTGTTTTGTTCTTCCTCCCTTCTCCCACACCTAACCTTGATTCCTTTTAATGGAACGTGAACCATGGAGCATGCACCTGATGACAGTGGTGTATTTGTACACTCAAAATGGGACTGGACTGACCCAGGAGAGCTTTAACATTAGAATAGCCTGGTCATTACAGTGGGTGGGTGTGTCTGCATGAACACTGCTGTGGCTGCTGCCCAGATAAGAGCCCAGCACAAGACCACATCCATATGAGTGTCAAGATAGGACGTTTAGGAGCAGCAGCTGTTTGTGGAAAGGCTTGCTCATGTACAAATTTGCCTGTGCCAGCTTTGTTGTGCCATGGTCCCATTTGTGCATGACAGAGCAACTCTCCCTAATCCACACCCTCACAACCTTTTTGTTAAGTTCATACCAAGCAGTAACTGTTATTTAAAATTTTAAACTAACATCAATTTTCTTTTACTGTAAAGAGAACAAATTGAGGGCCACCACCCATTAGTGCACAGGTCATAGCTAAGCAGCATAAATGGTCTGCTAAATTTTTCCCTCAAATTTAATTAGGAGAGGTAGAGAAGGATTCCTGTTCTGA